AGATAGTATATATTTTCTGGATGAGTTTTCTTTGGAGAACAAGATATGGATATTGCAGTTTGCAAACTTCTCATGCTGGTGTGGATTTTTTCCTTGGGCAAAAGCTTTTCTGGGAGCACTGCTGTACTCTGCTCAACAGCTTGGAGAAAGCTTATTACTGTTGTGTGAATACAGCCACAAACTGACAGAGGGAACACTATGGAAGAAAGCATTTAGATACATAAAAGGTCACCTGTAATACAGTTTTCACCAACCTGCAATTTTCTGAATAGCAATTGGGAAAGGCTGCTAGAATAGTTTGCTGTATTTTCTAATGCCCACAAGTAGAACTTGCTTTAAATCAAAATTGTCTTCTCAACAGTCAATTTTTAAAAATAAAATGTTATTTAGACAGATACTTGCACCAAGAAACATATTTCACACTGTGTGTGGAAGTATAGGCACCTTCAAAAAAAAGCAATCCATGATTTCAGATCTTAGGTTTTACATTCTCCATCCTAAAATTCTAAACAAGGCATTCATTTTGAAAAAGACAACAGATAATATAAACTTCAGCAAGATATAGGCAACTAATATAGCCAGCGAATAGGATTTTAATGCCTTCCAAAATACAGAAATACAGAACTTTGGAATTTGATAAAATTAAAAACTGCTTCAGTAAGATTGCTTGATTACAAAAGGACATATATGCCATACCAAGGATCAGTTGTATTTTGCCCCATAACATTATCTGCCGTAATAGCACTCCTCTAAAAGTTAGTGCAAATGAAGGATAAGGATTGTCCAAGATGTCCGAGTCTTCTCCTTAAAGGCTCATCCATTCTGCAATTTAGCTCATATCACACCACATCATAATGCACCTTCTTTAATGTTTAATTCTGTGTTGTATGAACCAGTCAACTGTGGTTCATGCAATGAACCATAGGCAAACAAAAAATGCTCCAGTGTATTCTTCAAACCTGCTAATCTGTTATGCAGCTTCTCTTTGAACTGACTGAATGAAAACTTTCCATTTTCAATTAGTTATCTTCCATCAAAACGGGCAAGCCCCAAATTTTGGCAGTATGATTTCTTTTTTCTGAATTTGTTAGGGTAGCATGCATGAAGGGGAACAGTTACTTTTCTTAGATTGCCCCTGGAAATTTTTTTTATTTTATTTTTAGAATGCAGACCACAGCAATTAAAATTCTTTTTAAACATGAGTAAGTGCATCATCATTTATATTTCCGTATTGCCATGAAGATAGGAGAGGGAAATGTAAGGGAGCACACTAGGAAAAGGCTTTCTCTCATGTATAGCATAAAAAATGGGGATAAATTCAAGTATATCTTTATTATTATTATACTAGATAGTGTCTAAGTCTTTCTCAAAGCATTCTTGAAATTGTGGACCATGAAATAAACATACAGAAAATGCAGGAACCAGCAATTAACATCCCTCTCTCTACATTTTTGTATTTAAGAGCATGGGATTTCAAATGTTTTGGCAAATAGGATTAGGGTTGCATTCCTCATCTTTCATTTCTAACGGCCTTTTTAAACTAAATTTTATGCCCCAAAACCCAAAATTAAATATTTGTCAGTTGAATTATTTTATGTACTCCATGCCATAATAACAACTATAGCTAGTCAAGTGTTCTCCAATAGAAATGGCTGGGTATTAAGGTGCTAGAGGCACGTACATCTCCTGCCCAATGAAATCCTATTTTAGATATTTATCATTGTGTTTCCTATGCTTACTTGAGGCAGTACAACTTGACCATGCTAGTACTGCTTCCTATGGCACCTATACCTATGTATTAAACATTTTCAACATAGATGTTTTGGGTGACTTGCAGGTTAAATCAGCTTGAGCTTAACACTAATCTACAATAAACTCAGAATGTGAGCAGTGAGAAATAACCAAAGTTATGCCAACAAGGCATGTGCTTTTAGCAAACAATAAACAGAGATACCATGAGCTAAATCTCAGAAAATATATATTAAAAAATTGAGTTGTGGAAGTCCACTCACTATATTTTGTTCTTCCTGATAAGCAGAGGAAACACATTCTGGATGGCTGAAGCAGAAGTAGTTGGGTACAGTGATGATCATCCAGAATCAATAGCATCATTACCCATCTCCCCTGGAGATGTTCTTCACCTTTTAAAAGTAACATTTGCCTTTATTATTAAAACAAGGATGAAATATTCATTTAATTGAACACATCTGTATATGTATGATGCTTTACATTCTTTTTTTTTAAAAGCAGCCTTCCTGAAGCATTTGAAAGGAGCCAGCCCAAGGACTGAATTAGCATCTGAAATGTGTAGGAAAGCTGTTTTCCTACTGAAAGCGAAGAAAGGTCAGAATCACCCAACAAAACATCCCCCCAACTCTGGTTTATAAGACAATTTGCTATGCACCCTCACTTTGTCATGTGCAAGTTAGATTTCCAAGTCTTTTCCTCTGCTTTTTCTCTAACATAAAAGCCATTTGATAACCAAAGGTTCCCTTAAGTGTTGCTGCCCCAACTTTCTCTTGTTACTCTGCAGCTCCTGAGGACTATATACTTCCGTTTGTTTCCTATGGTTGAAGAGTTTCAGCACATCAAGTGGGGGACAGCTTGAGCTAAGGAGAAAGTGCTTGATAATTTTTACATACCCCATGGGTTGAAAATTCCCTAGCCTGCTTTGGGCTAGTGACTGTGTTTTGGTGAAATGCATTTCATTTATAGCCCTGAATTTCATATAATATGAACATTGGTGCAGCGTTTTTCTTTGAGGTTTCCTCATCTCTTTAAGGCAATAAGTTTGAATGGAAAGGGAGCTAATGTCAGGCCAAATCTTCCTTTCATTGATGGCTTCTTTAAGCCTGGAGGATACAGAAAGGTGAAACTTTGCAAAAGGCTCACAAACATCAAGAAAAGCTCCATCTTGGCAAGCTGTTCTCCCATGCACACACGTTTGCCTTAAAAAAGAAAAAGAAAAAAAAGCAAAGGAGTTAGACAAAAAAGAATTTTCACAGTTTAAGTATTAATTAGTACCTGGCAGAAAACAGTATTTTTTCATCCCATTTCAATTTCATTCAATTTGATGAAAGGGCATTTGCTTCAAAGAAATTATCAAATGATGGGTGGAATATGGCAATCCTAAATTTGGGTTTATGTACTGTTATGTGTGCATGTGAGAAAAAAAGAGAGAATTTCCTTTCTTCAGTTATGCAAACATCAGTCACTGCCAGTCTCCTGCATTTCTTTAAATCCCAAAGGAAAACATTGTGAAGGAACTCTTCCCACAGTCTGTGGCATTCTTGTTACTGCTAAAGAGAAGCACTAATCCTGAGAAATTGTTGGAGAATGTCCTCTTTCCTTGAAGACATCAGTGCAATTGTTCCCCTAATTTCTTGGAGCCCAAATCTGATAGAGGATTTTGAAAGGCCATTTGGTGTTCAGCTTTCCTGTTAGTTCTCTCTTACAATCTGTTAAAAAGAAATTCTAGGTGATGTGTTTATCCATTCTGTTAAAAAGTGGTTTTGACAAAAGGCCACATCTTGTGTGCACACAAAAGAACTGATGTGTACATATTTTCTGCATTGTTTGTTGTTCTTCTCAGCCCCCGTTTACTTATATACAAATGCAGAGTTTCTTTTGCAAGCTGTATTGTTTCAGTTCAATTATGGGAAACAGACAGCCTCGTCAGCCATTAATTTATGAACTTAGAATAAAAATATGGAAGTCAATCTCTCCTGCCCTCCCCCCTCCCTCCTTGGATGTGCTCAAACTGCGGGGGCCTTCCATAAGCCACAGAACTGACGGAAGTTATGTCTCCTTTCAGATACAGGACATGAGATTTCCCCCAATACTCTTTAACAAATCTGTAACTAAGGAGTCAAACACAGAACATCAAGCCTGCAGGTCCCTTCTGCATCCTCTTCCCCCTCTCGCAAATTCAAGCACAGCTGCAACTGGCCCACAAAAATTGTGGGTGTGTTTCTGGAGCTGTTCTAAAAATGGTTACCAAATTGTAATTTTAGTGCAATAGAAGGGAAACATAAAAACACGGGGGTGTTAATTCAATTAACTACATTTAATTAATTTCATTTTAATTTTAAATAAATGTGTTTTTTGTCTTCATTCTGGTTCTGGATTCTTATCCCAGGGGCATCCACGGGGGAGTAAAAAAAAAGTCAATACGGCAGCCACACATGATATCGTGACCTCTATGGATGTCGCAGTTTGACCCATCTACTTCTTTGCAGTTCACAGTGTATCATTCAGAAGCTAAGGGTAGCTCTTGGCCCTAGAAGGTAGGATGGGAGGGAGGGAGGGAGGGAAGATTGTGTATGAGATGATGCCACACAGTGGCTAGGACAGTCTGTACAGCGAGAGCCCTTATAGCATTATTGCTATGGGAAGCCATCACCTGCCTATAAGAGGTCATGGGGTCAAAGCCTTACAGAATGAGCCTGCAGGGTCATAGCTAAAATTTTGCAGGGTCATAGCCAATATTTTTCAACAAACAAAAACAAACAGTTTTTGTTTGTTGAAAAATAATGAAAGGGTCATCTAAGGAGTGGCAGTAAACAGCATCATATTTTCAGCTAAAAGGCTCTTGGGAAAAACTGGTCTCCTATTAGACAATCTCTTATCGTTTAATAGATTTCATATCTGGGAGGCAAGGTTGGGGACTGATCTATGTTTTTTCTGCATTTCTACAGCACCTAGTTCAGTGATGCACAAGTTGTGGCCTTCAAAAGCCTTGGGAGGTGACCAAATTGCACTTCCTGGGGAAGATGGCAGACTGAAGGCAGCTCCAGGTAAAGTGGAGCCAACGTCTGTGGACTTTAACAAGGAGCTGATTAACATATTGGCTCCTACGATCCTCTCTGGATAAAAGAGAAAGACAGCGAGATTGCCCAGGCTGTTTCTCCATAGGATTGCTCCTTTTCCTTGTGGAGAGACCACAAGACAGTGATTTCAGGTGGGGGGAAATCAGGACCTCAGGTGAGGGGGGGAATCAGGAGACCGGGTAATTCTCCATAATTGCTCAAGCTGCAAATGGAGCCTTTTAAAAAGAGAATAAGGTAGTGCACTTTCCTTGCTAACTATCTACTAATTGCCTATTAACTGCTTCAAAGAAGTTAGACACCTGCAAAGTGACAAGGTTGGAAATAGCTGGTGAGTACCTTCAATCCTTGAAGTTAGTGTGAAGATTTATTTTTATAAATTTTAAGAACTTTAAAGAAACAGCAAAAAGCAAGACAAGATTTTGGCTATAGAAAGCTTTCAAATGGATTAAAGGCTCAGAAAGTGTTGGAAATTGGACTTTGAATATTAAGACTCTGAAATTACTTTTAAAGAACAATTGCATGTTTGTGGGAAAGAGAAATTGTTTTTGAGACTGAAGACATAATAAGACAAGTAGTTTAAAATGGTGTTTAGAGATATCTTTGAGGAATTGCATCAGGAGATTGAAACAATTTTGTCCGCTATGTTGTGTTTTTCTGAGAACACTCTGGTCTTAGAAGAAGATGTTATAGAACAAGATATGCGGCAAAACGTACCTGAGGAAAACATGAATGAGAATCTGAATAAGAACTTTTCATCAGACATAAGAAAAAATTAGATGAGAACTTGAAAATTAAGAAAGGAATAAAAATGACTATCCTAGAGAGCAATTGGTTTAACTTCCTTTTGTTGGAGTTGCAAGAGAGATTGTTTAAAGTACTGAAGAAATTTTCAATGAAGGTCAATTACCATATGAATGGATTACAGAGAAAGATTGTTCTGTATAGAAGAAAAAAGGAATATAAAATCAGCTTATTCGACCAGGGATAAAATAGGAAATGTTGTTATTCTGGCTGGTTCTTTCTGGATTTGCAAATATCTTAACTGGAACAGAAAATGTGGTACACTGGATTTGTTTATACTTAATAAGATGTTTATGTTCTTTCCTTTATTGTTATTTTATGTATCTTAATTTCATTAAGTACTCAAATTGACTTTGTATTTAATTGTTGTTTTACTTAAAGTAAGGAAGTTCAATCTTGTCTTTTTTTAAAGGAGAAACTATTTCTTTTTGTTATGCTAAATTTTAGTCTTTTGTGGATTTGCTTATAGCTTAGAGTTGAGATATGGAATGTTTATCGGAATGGGATAAGTTGTTATTTAGGGCAAAAATGCTGTGTATTGGAGCTTGTCTTTTGTAAAGAAGAAATGGTCTCTTTTTCTTATGTTAAACCTTGTTTTTATTTTGTTTACAGTAGGATATTGGGATCATTTTATGCCTTTTAAATGGGATTTTGTTTTAGCTAAGAGTGGAGGTGTGGAATGTTGAATTTTATATGTGTTAACTAATGTTAATATTTAGAGCTTTGTTTGGACTTTTTGCTGAGAATTGGATGGGAGAAAGGGTTACTTATTTGATTTGCCTATGAAGAGATGGGTTATGGGATGAAGAGGTTATACTGGATAAATGAAAGGAGGTGAAGAGATTATGGAATTGTTTATATTTGTCATTATGAGGGTGGGAAGTCACTTCTTTTAGGGAGGGAGGTGTTTTTCTTGTTTAGTTTTCTTACACTCTTTTTTTCTTCCTTTTTTTT